ATGTATCCAGGTAGGCTTTTATTTCGTCAATATACAGGGTATCATGAGGAATTGTACATACACCTACCTCGTATGAAGGCCCCAACGGGAAATAACAAATGACCATTAAAAGTGTCGGCTCCCATTGTTTAATAATATACAGGCTGATTTGAGAATTTTGACGGAAAGAAGATCGCACACATGTAAGTCGTATATCTGTACTTCTAGCTCTGTCCCATAGTGTTTTAACATCAATTTTTCTAAATGTTTGATCTATACTGTTTCTAACACCCTTTTTTCCTGATGTCAGCTCGTGTTTCTGTCACGTATGCCATTATAAAGAAGATATTCCTTCTCCATTGTTATCTTTGCTGTTACAATCCTTTCTGATATTGTATATTGAACTCTTTGATGTGATTTTAGTACCATTGGTGTATTAGTAAGGCTACGCCATCTTTGGTCCTGTTTTCTTTTGCTACTCTCCAGTAGACTAGTATGTATTCACCTAATTTTTATTGTCCTTTTCTTTCATTTTTGCTTCCTGTAGAGCGCAAATGTCTAGTTGTTTCTCCTCATATCTAATACTCATACTAATAGTATTATATGAGTGTTTTATGGACTTCAAAAATGTGATTTCCGTAAACTTTAATAAAATTCAGAGCTCAGTCAGGCCCAAAGTAATGAAACGAAATTGCAATTTCGCGACGAATCTAGCCATGTAAATTTTATTCTATTTGAGTGATATTACATTTTCCCTTTGAGTGATTTACATATATAAGATGTGTGCGATCTCCTTTCTAGTCGCCATAACTTGTGAATGATAAGTTCGACGTGTCTCATATCTTGATCAAACGGTAAACTACTAGCACCTACTTAATTAACTGATTCATGTAAACTAGAAAAAAAAATCAGGTGCGGCTTTAAAAATTAGTTTGTTTTATTTATAGAAAAAATTATGTTTATAAAATAGACAATTAACCTAATAACAAATGGTATGTAGTTTCCAGTAGGAAACGCCCGAGAAGTCCAGAGGAAGAAAATAGAAAATCGACCAATCGATCAAAACCAACCACACTTATGTAATGGATACTGACTAAGCAATAGATATAGATTTAGTTGCCTCATTGAAGAGTCAGAAAAAGAAACTATGAAAATACCAGATGAAGGCACCAAGAAAGAACCCAAACCACCACCAATATTTGTCAATGGAGTAGAAAATATATATCTCCTCATGGCACTGTTAGATGAAGAAATTGCAGGTAAATACAGTTTTAAATATTTTGTGGCAATACCCCAAAAAGTTAAGTGCAATATTCTGCTCATATCACAGAACAATACCTTTAATAAGTCAAAAATTTAAAACATTTTTGAAAATAATACACAGCAGAATTGTTAAAACTGTAGTTAAGAGTTTGGATACCTATAAATACTTGGAAACATGGATAACACCAAATGTAGACTATACCAAAGAAATTAAGACACATTGAAATATGACGGTGTATATGGTGGTTGCAACCGATGAGGAAGATATAAATTATATGAATCGAAAATTATTTGAGGAATATGCCAAATGGGGGCTTACTGTAAACATAAGCAAAACAGAATATTTAAAAATTGGAGGAAATACCACAGATCTGAGGCTTGAAAACGCAGTCATAAAAGGCTGCAACCAGTATAAATATCTAGGAAGCATCATATCAGCAGATGGCAGAGTTAAGATAGATGTACAAAACCGAATAACCCAAGGGAAAAAATGCATCCGAATACTGAATTCATTACTGTGGTCTAATAAAATAAAGATGCATACCAAACTTCGCGTATACAGAGCAATTGTAGAACCAATTACCACATATGGTGCCGAATGTTGGACGATGACAAAGAATGAACGAGATAAAGTAGACGTTGTGGAAATGGATTATCTTAGAAGGTCATGTCGAGTATCGAGAATGGAAAGAATCAGGAATGAGGAAATACGAAACCGTACAGGAATTAGAGATACTCTTTCAGATAGAATACAAGGAAGGCAATTACAATGGTATGGTCACGTGATGAGAATGGAGGAGGAGTGGTGGCCAAAGAAAGCCTTAATGTATGTTCCGCCAGAAAGAAGGAAAAGGGGAAGACCACCAAATTCCTGGAGAAGAAAAATTACAAAATCAATGCAATCTAGAGGCTTAGAAGAGGGAGATTGGGGAGATAGGAAAAGATGGAGGCTGAAATGCGGGAAGCGGCAATCGCCGTAGGACCCCCGTTATATGATGATGATGATGAAATATGACGTGCATCATTCGTAAAACTAAAAAAGTTTTGTTGTTGTCTGGATATAAGGTTAGGACTACGCCTAAGAATGCTTCGTATTACGTCTTTATGGCTTAGAACCACGGACATTAAAACAAGTGCATTCTTTTTAATATAATTTTTATTTCCCATCGAGGCCTCCATACGAGGTATGAGTATGTACAGCACCTCATAACTCACTCTTTATAAAAGTATAAACTATCTACTTACAGAAAATGAGACAATTCTGAAAGCTCAAATGCAAACGGGAGTTTCAGATAATTTAAGAGGAAAAGGGTGTGCTGTTAATATTGTCCTTCATCTCATAAGTAAACTCCGCCAGCAGTGCTGTCGGGTGGATCGAGTAGCTTTACAATCCTGCTGGGCAAAAATTAAAGCAAACAACGACGCAGCTAAAGAAGCTCTGGGCGAAATAAAGATAAATAAGTGCATGTCTCTTTCAAAGCAAAAAACTCCGTGGTTCTGTACAGAGCTGAAGGAAAAATATAATGAAAAGAAAAAAACTACCTGAAGTGGTGGCCTGAAGTACATACCAAAGATACAGCAAGCGTACCAAGATTACAGATTGCAAGAGAAGAAGAGAAAGAAATTAAACGCATGTACTTTTAAGAAGAATTAGAAACGAGCACTGGGAACGGCTCTCAAAAGAAATGGAGCATGATTTTTATGGTTTACTAAAAGAAATATGGCGCTTTATAAGCGGTCAAAGAGCTGAGGTGAAGGAAGTTATATAGAGAAGAATGACAAATAACTTTGGAACTACAAACACTAGAAATTACCATAAACGAAGAAGTTCATATATGTAAGTAAGCATGAAGTACAAAAAAAGAACAGAAAAGCTGCAAGTAAAGGTGGAATACCAGATGAATTGTTGAAATATGGAGGAGCGGCAATGTCGAATCAACTGACAAGAATAATTATAAGACACAGTTAAAATACCAGAAGAATGGTGTAACGACAATATTTTGCCTACCACAGGGGCATTAATATAAGGGGGTAGAAAATTGGGGGAAGAAACTATTGGGGGTGGAGATAGGGCAAGCAAAATAATCGCTACTGATGCGAACGGACACTCAGGGTTTCGTAGGAGAGCTGGGGTCGTGGATAAGTAAAAGATAAGGGCATTGGAATGGGGCAACTACAAAAAAATGAAATAAAGGGCCCTTGGGATAAACAAAATAAAAATTAAACAAGAAACACCTCAAGGAATTTAATATAGGGCGCCACTTGAGGTGCCTAATTATGCCTATTACAACCACTAGTTGTAACTAGGGAAATAATTAGAAAATCAAATCAAAACATATCTTTTTCAAATAAACTCAAAAAGGGTTAGCTTAAAAAAAATAAATAAAAAGTTAAGAAAATAAAATTTAACCTTTAATTATGTGTACCACAAACAGTTACAAATACAAATAATACTAACAAAATACAAAAAAAAACGACTTACAATGGCGCTTTCGGTTTACAACTCTGGGCGTTGGGGACCCTATTTGCGCGACATTTTGTAGCGGTAACTATTTAAATATAAAAAATGTTTACGAAAAAAAAGAGTACCTGATATCACTGAATATTATATCTCCTTTAAAAGTTTTGGGGCTGGAACTTTACTCAAAAACACTGCAAAACAAACAAATGCTTCTCACAAGCTGCAAAATGGTCTGGAATGACCAGGGACAACAAATATACGATGAAAGCTGGGCACTGGACCATCGGACTTCGGGTTAATTAAACTGCAATCTTCAAAGCTTGGCTTTTCAAAACTTCTCAAAACACAAAGCTCTTCAAAACACAGCACGACCCAAATCGGTGATTAACTCAGACAAAAACTGACACATTACATTTGAGTATAATATTCACTTCTCCACATATAAATTTGCCGGTTCCTTGAAGAATACCACCCAAGCACTTTTCCGTCAATATCATAAACCAACCTCAAATTGTAACTACACATGCTACCAAACTTCAATACTTCTGATGAAAAAAACTAATAACAAAAAAAAACATTACGAATTTGATGAAAATTCGGACTAAACAAACGAAACCAACTGCCCTTGACAGCGGCTCCACCGATAGTGACGAAATTAAAAATTTGTTCGCTTAACTTGAAAATCAACGAACTGCTGAAATAGCAAAACCAACGAACGACGTAGATATCCTTTGAAACGCATTTACATGAAAAGAAATCGCCGCAGTAAAATAAACAACAATTAAATGGATTTATTACTCTACGACGTTAGAATGATTGAAAACACTTTTCGAAAGATACGAACTAAAAAACAGAAAACATTCTTCGTTTTATTAAGACGATTTCATATACGAGGCGACTTAAAATATACTTCAAAGAATCAATCAAATTTAAAATGCTACAATGGAAGACAAGCGAACTAATTCTATTATTCAAAAAGTGCGATAAGAAACAACCAGAAAACTACAGAGGTATCAATTTGCTAAATACTACCCTGAAACTTATAACAAATTTTGCAAGAACTTTCAGCTCGCTAATACACTTAACAGATCAGCAATAAGGTTTTCGTAAGGGAAAGTTGCGTACAGACGCAATATTGTCCTAAAATATATTACAGTGAAAGCATTAAAATACAACAAATCAGCATCCCTATGTTTGAATGACTTTCTTTTATATTTTTATATTTTTTTGGTGCATATTGAAGAATAAAAGTGTTCACATTCATCGCAAATAGTAAACTAATTTTAACTATTCTTACCGTATTGCATATTTAACACTTCCTTTAAAACAAGCTGCCGATATGTTCCTTTCTTGGGAGGATTTTTTTCTTCGTAAACTGTTATAATAGTCACATCGTGGCCAGCTTCTGCGATACCTTTAAGGAGCTCGTTTCCTAAAAAGTAATGACTAGGTGCTCCGTAGGGAAACAGCCCCAAAACCTTCAACGGACTCACATAACTTACACTACAAAATACTAACACTAAACTAAAGATAGCAGTCATTTTCGAGTCCATAGTTCGTCTGGTATTATTTATAAAATAATACTTAACGTGCCGATACCAGGAGTAAAGTATAATTTAACAATAGCGGTGAGTTTTTTTGTAGTACGTATCTTAGCGATAAGAAAAATACTTATTGGAATAATTAATATTAGGTAAAATAAAGATGCGTTGTTATTAGTCTATTTCAAGGTTGCCGACAGTAACCTTTAAACAGCTGTGCCGGCTATGCGTGAGTTAAAAACTTTCGTCAAAGTTGAAACTGAAGAATTTTAAATTGGTATGTTTACAGTATCTAGTATGCGTTGATGCGCCCTGAGAATGTGAACAATGCGCATGTTCCTGCTAGGCTCCTGCTGATCGCTGTCGTCAACCTTGACCAAAATATTATGCTAATTATATTATTATACAAAATACAGGGACTAATTAAAATCTAATAGCAGTTGATATGTTTGATATTTTAATGTATATTTTAGTGTCTTATACCATTTTGTATCTTTTTTCCTACTCATCTTTAAAACAAATTTTCTTATCAGATTTCGCCGTTAAATGTGCGTAATCAAAATCGTCTTAGATATTTTATAGTCCAGTGTACCACGGTAAAAGTATGGTATAACCTCCGATTTTCATCGGCACTGTAGCCAACCTACACTATTGTACCAACCTATACACTCCCCAGCCAATCAGTGGTGGATCCAAGGGGGGTCTCGGGGGTTATGACCCCTTCCCAAACAAAAATAAAAACCAATCAAATAATCCTAAAAAAAAATAATTTAAAACCCATCAATCCTATAAATAGAAAGTTAAGAGTTGAAATGATTCAAGAAAATAGGAAGAATTTGTATCCAATATTAAAAACTGTTATTCTTTTTGTAGCTTTCATCAAGTTCTCGTAGACACACCTGTCTCAGGACTAGCAACTTCACGTGGAGTCATATGTCGCCATGTTACCAAATCTAACGGTAACTTTAACATCTTAATATTTTATAAGAAATAATGTAAACTAAATTGAAACAAACAATTTTTAACGGGTTTTTGGGGTCCATGAAATATGGATTCCGAAAACGTTTTGTGATATAGCCCGATTGGGTTTTTAAATTATATACCTTTTATAAAGCATTTTTAATAAAATTTTTTTGTTATTCGTTGAAGTAGACAAAATATTTCTTTGAGAGGGAATAAGGATGATAAAAATATTAAAAGCATTGTAAACAGCGATGGTACCCACAGAACAAAAATTATCGCAATTTTAGAGCATTGCTAAAGCCACAAAAAAATATTCCAACGTAAAATACTACACCAAATATTTGGAGCTATAAAGGCTTATACGAAAACGATATAACTTCGAATTATACCAACTTATTAATCAACCAGACATTTAATAAAACACAGTGACTTAGATGGGTTGTACACGTATTGCAAATGCCAGAAAACATGCTGAAACGCTAACGACAGGAACACCTGTCGGAAAAAGAAGCAGAGTTAGAAGCAAAAGTTAGATGGAGTTAAGACCGACTTGGGGATATTAAAAATACGAGGATAGCAACAGGTCACCAAAAACCGTACAGGATGGAGACGAATCTTACAGCAGAACGAGATCCACAAAGGATTGTCAAGCTAAAGATAATGATGATGATTTTAGCCATTAAGGCAGCGACTGTCGACTGTCTTGATAAATTCTCATTTTCCTGATCTATAATGAAACGAACAAAAAACTTTTTTTAATAACACAAAAAAATACAAAATACAAAAAAATAACTTTTATTAATAAATTATTGTACAAAATTTTTACTGATATTTAAGTTTCTTATTTGATGGCTTATCGTTTCCACCAGAAACTAAACAGTAGAGACAACTAAGTGCCTTCTTTATTATATACAAAATCAAAAATATAATTCCGAATATAAGTAAGAACACGTCCAGTAGGTAATATTGGTACCAAGCTAACTCCACATATCCAACTCTGAGATGTTTAGCACCATTATGCCTGGCAATGTATTCTACCCAGTAAACTGCTTCGTCCATAGGTTTTAGTGGTCTATCATGGAAGATTTTAGAACGAGCTTTTGCATTTTCGCGATATCTGAAAACAATATTAAAAATATGCATATAGCAACATTCCTAGCTTTCACTTAAAGTATTGTTTGATGTGATGTATATTAATCTATTATTTCTGCGAAACTGCATCAAACGGCTATTATTGAAATAGAGTACACAACATCCGAAGATATACGAATACGACGAGAAGTGTGATAAGGTTATGTCTTGTCACCGCTAATATTTAAAATGTAATCGGAATCTATATTTAGGGGGTATTAGGTGGATACTTCTCTGCGATCCCGGCAGGATATTGATCTACTTCAGGAATAGCACACCTGCCCAAGCAAGCTCATGGATTTCTTCAGCCTCCAATCCCTGGGGAAACCATGCCCAAACCCAAAGCATTTCCATCTCCACCCTTTCTTCCCCCTACTTCCAAACCAACTCGCCAACACGCACTAGCCAAGCGTAGCGTTTTAATGGTTTAAAAACTCAAAAGTTATTTTCCATGAAAGACGAAACTACTGAACGGCCCTCAGTTTTCGGCGGCTCCAACACCCCCAACCAAGGTGGCGGTTGGAACAGGATTGAAGCATAGATTGCTAAGAATCCCCGGAAAAATCAGGCTACTACGCACAACAACAAATGCATATTACTTCATACAATGTTAAAACTCTTATATCAGATCAGAAGATGATGGAAATGGAAGAGTTGAAAAACGTAAAATGGGACATCATCGGCCGCAGTGAAATAAGACGAAGAAGAGAATCCCAAATTACTCTTAAATCACGTATTTCATTTTAGAGGTAAAGAAGACACTTCAAATGGTGGAGTAGGATTCATTATACATAGAAACTACACACAATATATAGTTAAAATTATTAGCATAAGCCCCAGGATTGTATATCTGATTTTCAAACTAAATGCAAAATATAACCTTTAGTTAATCCAGACATATGCTGCAACGACTACCAACTTGGATGAAGAAATTCAAAATTTTTTCAGACTGAGTGAATAATTACGGGCGAATTTAATGCGAAAATGGGGTTTAAACAAGATGATGCAGTAGTAGCAATGGGTAAGTATGGCTATGGCGAAAGAAATGTACGAGGATAAAGATTGCGAATTCGTAATAAACTCTTTTTTTGGATAAAAAGCGTAAATGAACATGGATCAGCCCAAATGGCAGTGTCAAAAGTGAAATAGATTATATCATAACACACAAAAAAGAAATAATCAAACGCATGGAATCACTCAACAAATTTTCAATAGGAAGCAACCACAGATTAATCCAAGATACTATTTACTGTCAAATTGGAAAGAACAAAGATGATCCTAAACACAAAAAAAAATCAAAGAAACTGCAGCAAACAAAGATACACTAACCAGACATACACAAGACTTGCAAGACGATATAGAAGATGTAGATCAAGCAAATAATGGCATAATAAAGACTCAAGAAACGGAAAGGAAGTGCTGCCAGACCGTTCTGATCCATGAAGAAAAACTAAGCCAAAATACCAAAGAGCTAATAGGTAAAAAAAGACATCTGACGAAAAAATACGGCTTCAACTACACAGCAATGAAGAAATTAAATTAAGATATCCACCGGTCAATCCGGCAAAATTTTTAAACGGCACTTTTAGAAATGAAAATAACTAATCCCCTGGCGATGACAGAGTAGTGATCAAAGCGATCAAACTAGGTGGAAATAAAATTATCCAGGCTTTGGCCAAGGTTTTCACTGAATGGATCTACCAAGGAAAAACTTCTCAATGGAATGATGCAGTCATTACTTTATCACACAAGAAAGGAGACATAACAGATTTATAAACTACCGTCCTATTAGATTGTTTTCACACATATATAAACTTTTCACAAAAATTATCAAAAAAAAACAGGATATTAGATTAGACTTCTATCAGCCTAGAGAATAAGCTGGATTTAGATCGAGCACAGCACTAACGACCACATATTAGTGATAAAGAACCTGAAAGAGAAGTCTGCAGAATAAAACAAAACATTGGCACTGATATTTATCGACTACGAGAAAACATTCGATACCATAAGCCATTAGAAAATGTTAAAAGCATTGACAGAATGAGATATATCTACTAAAATACCACAGCTAGCGTAAGACTATCTGAACAAGAAACAAGTAAATTCTGTATACAACCAGGAGTACGGCAAGGAGACACAGTCTCTCCAAGGCTATTAACCATAGCTATTCACTATTTACATCTAAACGAGCATGTTATCAACATAAATGGGTGATTGTATGGATGAAGCAATACAAATGTTGTAACAATTATATCACGCTTCCTTGGAGGGCGGATTAAAGATTAATATGAACAAGACGCAAAGAATGACGATCAATAATCTGATCTATGACATGAGATTAGGTTGTGCAGATATAACCAGACCGTGAAACTCCCATAGAATTAGCCTGGGCAGCGTTAAGTAAATTAAACTGTATTTAAATCATTTTGAGGTATATGGGATCTACCAATATATTTATTGACTCCCTTGGTCCTCGCCGTTTCTAATAAAAGGTTGGTCCTGCAAGGGTTAAGCATTTGTAACTTTCTCAGTGTAGATTACCAATCTGTAGCTAGACAAACCGGATGGTGGTATTACCATCTCGGCGTCTTTTAACCTTTGTGACCGTTATTATAGTACTTCTTGACAATCTTGTTCTAAATTGTAAATTTCTACACAGAGCAAATTTTTGTCTCACACAAATCGTGAAATACTATTTAAAATTTCAGATATTTTCTTTAAAAATAAAAAATTTCCAATTATGAGAGCTACAATCTACAATTCATGCTTTTAAAATCTTATTAAGAAAGTTAAAATACCTACTTTGGATTAGAAAGAATTTCCTCTATAGCTGCCGAAAGTTGTTCTTCTGTGAGTGTATTATAGTCTACAACAATAGAATAGCCATTCTTTTCAGCTTGTCTGGCATTGGTTTGTTGATCGTTAATAACAGGTACTGATACAGTTGGTATTCCGTGGTAAAGAGTTTCAATAGTGCTCAGGAATCCTCCGTGGGTGATAAATAGTTTAACATTTGGGTGAGCTAAAAATAATCAGAATTTTAGAATAAACAACTTTTGATAAAATTTTTGGTTGGAGATAAACATTATTAAAATATTATATATTATGATATCTTGTAGGTTAGGAGTTGTATGTCCTTTTTGATCTTCCGATTTTTCAACAACCAGATCTTTCATCTTAAAGTCATTATTTTGTTTTTTCTCGGAGATGCGCTTAAGGACCTTAAAGCTTTTGAGCATATTATTGGGCTTAACTGTTGACAAATGACAGAAACATCCGTAGTAATACGATTACACTGCTCAAATACTACATACAGAGAATCCTTGTTATATTTACATTCGAAATGTGAATGTATTGGCGAATATTACGAATAAATTGGAAAAGCAAAAACACTAACGAGATATATTAAAGAAAAACCATGGATGTCTAACATAAAGAAGTAGACGCATACAACAGGAAATTAACTAGTCCAACAATCATAAGACAAACGGAACGTTGCCATATCAATCGTCAACCTCATTCGAGAAGATACTTTAGACGAGAAAAAATTTTCCTGTTCGATTTAAAACAAAAAGTAAAAAAACTTACCTAATAAATCCGATTGTGGCAACCATTTTTCAATTCTCACATTCTTAGGTTTTCCTGGCAAGTTTTCATCTTCAAATTTCCACAAAATGTTTTCTTTTCTTTTAGAAAAAGCTTTTAAGATGCCATCCCTTTTTTCTTTTGGAAAACTACTGCTGTAAATGTTAGAACCCATGCTGAAATAAATCACTCCGTTCTTGGATTCATCCAAGTATTTTTTAAGATCGGCAGGCAATGGTTTTGGTTCCTTGACATGATACCCTGCTATTTCTTTCATGCATGGAACTGCCGGTGCTGGATTGTTTAAGCTAGGATGTGAATTTGAGAGTACCAATGAGACATTATATTGAATTTTGGTCAAGTCCATATCTTTTGATACGTATTTCTTTATTAGCTCAGCATGAGCTGGATATTGTACATAATTATGGTTCACATAAGCTGCTATCGTGTACAAAGTGTTCGTTAATCTCTGCTTAAAGTTCATCAATTGTGGATAATCAAATATTAATTCAGGATTCAACGAAGGTAAACCTGAGTTTCCTACAAAGTGGTTTACCCAGCAAGTTGCGGCGTTATCATTATATAGGACTAAATGAGCGCCAAAATGTGCAGCTAATGCTTTTGTTGCTTCTACTGCATATTGTGTGAGTACCATAACATCAAACTTCTCGTCTGACTTTATTAACGCTTGTACTGTTGGATGGGATAACATTGCCTCTGTTACAGTTAAACCAATCATATTGAAAATGGGGAGCATACCAATAGGACCTTTTGATGCGTACGAGCTCCCATCATTGAGGTTTGACATATTTGCGAACAATTCTGAAACCAAACAAACCTTATTAATATTTTATATAATAAATCAATAGAGAAAAAAAATATATCTTTATAAATATGAAGAATATATTTATTGTCTGTGATTTTAGTTTAAAAATAGGTATATTATTCTTGACAATCCCTTCTACCGACCACGAAAGTGACCGTTTACATCACACAGGCCAAGAATTTTAATAAAATTAAAACTTTGCTACAACTAGAAATGAAAAATGACGTCGTTTAAATTAATTATTTAATTGAATATCAACGGATACTATAATAACTTATTAATGTTAAAAGTTCTTCAGTCAGAGATGTCATTTATCTACAAGAAACGAATTTTAAGGACAACTAAGAAACTTGTTTACATTATTATGAATAAATGAACTCGGATCATTCTCCAATTATTATCACGCTCAGTGACACTGTTATCAAAAAAGAAAGTCCCCCTAGACTTATAAACAGAAATACTGACTGGAAAAGTTTCCAGAGAGACCTTGAAGAGAAGATTAATTTCTCAGTTCCATTAAGAACCGTTGCGCGTTGATCAACTAGAGGCAGAAGTAGAATTACTTAATAAAAATGTACAACAAGCTGCTTGGAATAACAGCACGAACAGTGTCAAAAGGATAAAAGAAAATAACTACCCGAAAGAAATCAGAGAAATGATAACCGAAAAGAGAAAATTGAGACGCAAGTGGCATGAGTCTAGAGCACCAGTTGATAAAACTAGATTAAATAATGCCACACAAAAATTAAGAAAGAAATTTAAAAAATTAAAAATTAATCCGTTAGCATCTACCTAAGTGAACTATCAAATGCTAGCGCTACTGATTACTCATTGTGGAAGGCTACCAAATGATTTAAAAGGCTAATCTTACATAATCACCAACCAATTAGAAATACTAATGGTAGCTGAAACTCCAAAAGAAGTATATTTGAAAATAAAAGAAAATATAAATCTAAAGAATGCTCCTGGATTTGATTTAATTACTAGGGAAGTATTAAATCAACTTCCAAGGAAAGCTATAATAAAATTAACACATCTTATAAACGCTTCCTTTAGGCTGAGGTATGTACCAAAGATATGGAAGGTGGCAGAAAATATAATGACACTAAAACCACGAAAACCTCCACAAGAAACTTCTTCATATAGGCCTATTTCACTGTTACCTGTCATAAACCTGTCTAAAACGAAAAATTATTCTTGAAAAGACTAAAACCGATTTTAGAGGAAAAAAATCTAATTCCTAATCATCAGTTTGGGTTTAGAGCAAGCCACTCAACGATAGATCAGGTGCATAGAATATCAGATATAGTAGAAAAAGCTCTAGAAGAAGGAAAAGTCTGTTCCGCAATTTTCCTTGATGTAGCGCAGGCTTTTGGCAAAGTGTGGCATGACGGATTATATCATAAAATGAGATACTATTTACCACAACAATATTCTGAGCTACTAGAATCATATATATCCGACAGATACTTTCGAGTTAAATATCAGGAAGCATATTCAGAATTAAGATAAGTTAAGGCTGGAGTTTCACAAAGAAGTGTCCTGGGACCAGTGCTATACCTGCTCTATACCAGCGATATTCCATCATTAGAACCTAACACAATTGCGACATTGGCAGACGACACATGCATTCTAGCAGTTGGACAAAACCACAAGGATGCAGCAATCATGTTACAGAACTCTGTTGAATAAATTAACATCTGGACCAGGCGATGGCGTATCAAATTAAATGAAACAAAATCTGGTCATGTCAATTTTACTAACAAAAGAGAACACCATATCCCAGTTAGTATAAATAGAAACCAAATACCTTATGCAAATACGGCAATATATTTAGGTATGACATTAGATTCCAAACTACGTTGGAAAGCACATATTAAGAAAAAAAAGGAGGAATTAGAAATAATTAAGTTCAAAAAGATGTACTGGTTGATGGGGAAAAAATCCACTCTGTCTACTTATGACAAATTGTTATTGTATAAGCAAGTCCTTAAACCGATACGGACATATGGGATACAGCTTCGGTGCTGTACAAAAGAAAGTAACATCCAAATTATAAAACGATATCACAATAAATTATTAAGGAACATCATTAACTCTCCATGGTACTTCAGAAAATGCGATCTTCATCGAGACCTCTAGATGGTACGGTTATCCAGACAATTAGTAAGTTTGCCGAGAGTCATAAACAAAGGCTCTCCAACTACGTAAATGTCGAGGCCATCAAACTCCTAGAAAACGTCAACCAGATAAGAAGACTTAAGAGAAAGAAGCCGTTTGAGTTAGTGCTATAAGTGAGTAAAAGTGAAAAAGCAGAGCAAAGTGTAGCTAAAGTGTACACGTTAGCCAGTAGTACTATAATGTATTAGAGCCTAAAGAATATTGCTGAATGTAACCTTAGATAAGTTAGCCACTTTTAATATGCTTGTTTCTTGTTGTGTACTGCATTGGCGATGTCATTTGTCCACCACAATGGAGTATTCTTTTTGTTCTTTTGGATTGTGCCGAGCGCTTCGTAAGCTGCTTCATTGATTTTATTGATTATCTCTTTATAGGTATTCTGGGCTGAGGAGTAGATCAGGTTTGCCAATTTTTGGCTAAGTCGCAGCTTATATAAGAATGATGTCGAGTCGTTTTGCAGTGCATCAATATTGTATTTAGGTAGATTCGATTCCAGGGGTTTTGATTGAGCTAGTTGGTTGTCATTTTGATGTAGTAGCCGAGGTCGATACTGTAGATAACATTTTGATCTTACCATATAGTGGTCAGTTCCGCACTCCGGTCCTCTTAGTACTCTTATGTCTTCAACTTGTATGCGTGTTTCTTGTTTTGTGATGACATAATCTATAATTGACTTTGTGTTACTCGTTGAATGGACATAGGTGTACTTATGTATGTTTTTATGTTGATAGAATCCGTTTAGGATTTTCAGAGAGTGCTGTTCACAGAATTCGATAAAGTGTTCCCCATTTTCATTTGTTTTAGCGTCACCATATTTTCCTACGACTTTGTCATTTATTTTTGTTCCTGTCCAAGCGTTAAAATCTCCCAACAATTTCTTTGCGGCTATTTATATTTTCAATGAGTTCCGATAAAGTTTCGTAGAATATTTGTTTAACTGCTTTTGATGCATTTTCTGACGGAGCATATATTCCAATGATCTCGAGGTCGTGCCCTTTCCACGTAATAGATACTCTAATAATTCTCACATTAATCTGCTCCCAGCTTTTCAGGTTTCCTTTTAAGTCTTTTTTTTATCAATATTGATACCCCTGCTTGTGCTCTTTTGTCTTTCTCTACTCCACTATAAATATATATAAAACCTCATATGTCTTCACCACCTTGGCCTTTTTTCTTTGTTTCGGTAAGAACCGTGATATCTGATTTTATTTTCTTTACTTCTGCCATGACTTCGTCTGACTTGGTTCTCCACCCTTGGATATTCCATGTATTTATATTCAAAGTTTTTGTTCGTTTGCTACGTCGTCTTCGTTTTTTCCCGTCCATATTCCGAGGCTGGATTTTAGAATTTTTTGCAGTAAGTTTTTCACGGGTGTAGAGGAGCAGGCCCTACGTCCCCACCCCCTACGAGGAGGACCAGGATTTTCTGTTAGGGTTTACTCCCTTAGTCGAGAGAATAGTAGTAGAGTGTAGTAGACAGAATTATAGTGACCCGTCCGCCCTCGGATTACCCTAATAGCCACTCGGAGTCGGAAAAACAAGAGTTTGCCAAGAGAGGCCGATAGGAAAGATTAAAGACATTTCACTCCAGACAAGTTGAAAAAGAGCAAAATGTGAAGGCCCTTATGATCCGCCAGGTACGTTTCATAAGCGTATGAGTATTGGTACACTTTGTATTCCCGCTCATACCTCGAGGTGGCGACTACAAACTGTATGGTTCGTCCAGCACGCCATAGCGTGAAGGAAAGTTTGCATGTCATTTTTACAATGTAGACCCCTAAAACCTCAATTTTTTTTTAATATTAATTAGAAACATATTGTTAATTAATTTTTTGTTTACCTGCAATACGAAATGATTAACAAGTTTTTCGTTGATTCTGAAAAATCATATTTTTTGAGTTACTCCCATACAGTCTTCGTAGACACACCGTCTCAAGACTAGCAACTTCACAACGTGGAGTCATATGTCGCCATGTTATCGCCTAATCCAACGGTAACTTTAACATCTTAGGTCATTAAAAGAAATTTTGTAAACCAAATCTAATCAATTATTTGTTAACGGGTTTTTACCCATATATTTAGTGCCTACATTCATGTACTCTTAGACACTGATGATGGAATATGGATTCCGAAAACGTTTTGTCTTTTTAACTTAGCCCGTTTGGGTTCTTAATATATACCTTTTACAAAGGATTTTAAATAGGTAAATGTTTTAAACCATATTAAATAAATCAAACCTTAAATATTAAGTTTAATAATTAGTATTTGGATTTATAATATTTCAACGATTACTAGAATTAAAAACTCATACATTTTTACAGTAATTAAAAAAAAAACAGTTGATTTGATACATTGATTGAGTTTGCTTGTTGTGAAGACATTTTACAGAATATTATTTCTGTCACTTCACATTCCGCCAACACTTTTTATCTCTATCTAAAATATAGACTTGACATTAGAAATACAATACTTAGGAGACTTAATTAACATATGTTTAAAAAATATAATAGTTATCAAATTATATAACTAGTTTAGTGCCATGCTACTACTTTCTACTGAACTAGTTACATTTTTCATGGTCGATAATTTATAGTATACATACTACATAACGAGTGATAAAGGCTTAAAAAGAGAAGATCCAACAGCAGTAAAAAACCACTACATGGCAGAATCAACAAAAGAGGAAGAACAACAAAGAAGAGAATGGAGCAATAGCAGGATATACTTTATATAACCGTAAAAGTTATGAAGAACTAAAAGAGATATGTGACATCCCAGACGTAGTACGATGGGCAGGAAACAATAGAAGAGAATAAAGAGACCATGCTAACAGAATGTCGGACGATCGCTCAGCCGAAATTTTCAAAGAAAAACGCCCAAACACACCTCGACAGTCTGTGGATATCCGTCGTGTCAACTCCTAACGTAAAAAGAGAAAGAAGATTTTGAAACTAAAAAGTATTTTATATTAGTGACAGAAATATACGTAGGAAAATGATTAGTATTGTCTAAAGTTAAATAACCACAGACTTTTTCTACATGATGATCATATCTATGTAGCTGTTATAGTAGTTATAATTAGTTATCTTTAATGTTATAGATAGTCCGATTTATTGGATTTTTTCGTTCAAATAAAGTTAAATGTAAATAAATAGATAAAATTATTTGAACAAGTTTATTACATATATAAATATTTATATACATAGATACTGGTTACCCAACAATATCATTCACTTAATTTAAAAGTTGTCGTGGATAAAATATAAACATTAAGTGCAAATAATAATTATCATTCTTACCCAATTGCAATTTATGCACCTCCTTTAATACAAGCTGCCGGTAGGTCTTAGGAGGATTCTTATCTTCGAAAACTGTAATCATAGTAACATCGTGGCCGGCTGCAGCAATACCTTTCATGAGTTCATTTCCTAAGAAGTAATGACTAGGAGCTGCGTAAGGAAACACCCCTAAAACTTTCAGGGGGCTCACATAACTTAAACTACAAAATACTAACACCAAACTAAAGAAAGTAGTGATTTTAGAGCACATAGTTGTGGTATTATTTATGAAATAATACTTAACTATGCCAATACCAGGACTAAAATATAGTTTAACGATAGTAGTGAGTTTTTATGTAGTACCTATTCTAGTGATAAGACTTAGATATTAGGATGATATACATAAATAAATAATAATAATTAAAATAAAGTTGCTAGTCACTGAGTATATGTTAAGGTTACAGGCAGTTATCTTAAAACCGTTCAGAAAGGGTGAAAATTTGGAACGCAGAATCCTAAACTGATATGGTCAGAATATTTGTAGTATCGGCAAAAGAGCTTTCTACCCTCAAAATTTGGTATGGTACATTAAATAAATCTGTAGTATTCATTTGATTTGCCATGAGAATGTGAATAATTTATAGCTTAAGCTTTATTTTTTATCTAGCTATTTGTATATTTGCATTTGGGAAGTATTTCTACCTATTACCATGGTTTTCTTTCGCTGGATATTTATTTTCAAACTGAAAGCTTCACCTATGATAGTTGACCATTTATAAAACTTTAAAGATCGTCGATGCTATGGACCATTGTCACTGTGTCATAAGCATATGTAATGTTATTAATCAATATACTGTTAACTTTAATACCCTTACTGCGAATGATTCTGTGAATGCTCTTTGTACCTATAGGTTAAGTGACATTGAACAAATTCTACAAGTCTCTATTCCGACATCAAACTTCGATCTATATTTTTAAGGGGCGTCCCAGTTTTGTTCGTAATTTGGTGTATTATTTAAAATATTCACTTTCTATTAATTCTTTTTATATATTTGATGAATTTCAACATTTTTCAACATTTCTGTAGGATTCGTCTTGTGAAATATAGATAACCTGTTGGGCTAGCCGTGTGAGGACCCAACACCCCACGGTGTTTGCCGAGAACGCATGCGAAAAATTTCTTTGGATATTTACCCCAAACTCTTGTCTTTAACATTCTTTGGTCAGTTCTACCCATTTAACATATTACTAATTATTCTGTCATATAAACTGAAAGAAACTAAAAGAAATTAGACAAAAAATAGAACTAAATTAAAAGGAAAAAGGGCACCACCTTAGCCATAGTTTAAATTTTTACCTAAAATGTAAAAAAAGAAACACTCATACTCACACAATCTCCGTTATTTTTCTCTTAACTTTCTTTTTTCTACTATGAGTTCTCTGATTTATTTTGGATACTTGTTCTCTTTTGTTTTAGAAGTTATTGTGACAGTATTTTCCCAAGCTACCTGTTGGATATTTTTTATAAAAACTAATTTGTCATCAAGTTGCCTCTGTTTCTCAATGGCACAGCAATTTTGTGTTCAAGGTTTAGTTTAAAGCTCTCCCAGTCAGTTTTTTTATTAGTCAATATTGTATTGAACTCTGTTTTGACCACTGTATTACTCATAGTTAAAATTATTGGTGAGTAAGCAGAGTTTATGTTCCAGCCGTCATTGATATCCAGATAGTTAGCTGAGATATTTTTGTATATAAAGAAATCAGTCAGGTCTGAAATTTTGTTCTTATCGGTAGGCCAGTATGTTGGTCTAACAGTAGATATAACTTCACCCTTTTGTTCTTAAATAGCTGACAATAGTTCTTTTCCTTCAATTGTAGTTAGCCTAGTGCTCCAGTGGGTATTATTTGTATTGAAGTCGCCATCAATGATGTATCTTTTTTCTAAAATGTTCATAAACTCTTTATATTATTCTGTTTTAATTGTTTTTTTTTTCTTATTATTGTTCTGAAGCTATTTTCTTGTGGCATTGTAAATTAATTACTATTTATAACTGGGAATAAGCCACAATTAGAGATAAAAAATACGTTTATTGACGTTTCAATTTCCAATTCGGAAATCGTTCTCAAAATACAAACAGTAAATTAAACAAATTTTGTTTTTTTGTTACATAGTGAAAAAATTCTTCTAATAATTTAATTTTATCTGACTCATTTATATTGACAATTCAGACATACATTATGCATTTTAAAGTAGACGACTTTAAAATGATATTGCCAATATTGTTGAGTTGCGCTCCTGGGACGACTTTACTATAAGATAGTTCATTCATGTTTTTTTTCTATTTATTTTGTGTTTTCTTCTTCACACATACTGTTGTAACTTGTATGTGCTCAATTGCATATTTTAATTCCTCATGATGCAAGATGTTATCTTTAATTATGATAGCACTTCCTCCTTTAGATGCATTATCTGGATGTACAGTAGAATATACTCTATACCCCCTAAATTTTACATATGACTCTTTAGTCGATTGTGTTTCAGAAATGAGACACAGATCAATTTTCTCAATGCCTAGTACTGGTCCAATACTAACAGTTCATTTGCGTTCTGAGTACAGCCATTTCTGATTTTCGGAATAGCTTATTTAGCACTATGCTCTAGTCGGGTAACTCTCATATCGATTTGAGTTATTTTGTCATTAATCTTGGTGAGCTTTTCCAATATCATTTTTTTCTTTGTTACATCGCTGTAACTTCTATTTTCACTGACCTCTACCGTTTTTAGTTTTTTGCTTTCAATAACTTTATAGGGCGCTTTTATAGCATTGTCTTTTTTTGTTCTCTCGTTTCTTATTGTTTGTAATTTTTTAGCTACATAACATCCGTGGTAGTTTGTAGGACGGTTTTCTCCACAATGAACACATTTTGGTTTATCTTCCGGTGGTTTCTGGCAATCTTTAGTAAGGTTACCAATACATTTTATACATCTTGGCTCCTTTTTACAGTATTTAACTAGGCTAGAAGTAACGAACAGAGAGCAGAATGATGTGTAGATCATTTAGAAAGCACGTTCAAACGCAACGGCAATGATGGTAAAGAACTGAGATGAGAAGAATCATTCCAAACAGAAGAAAGAATATCGTTGACATCATTTAGAGAAGTATCAATAGAGATAAAAGCAAATATAAATCCTAAGAAAGCTCCAAGATATGATCTCATAACAGGAAAACAATTAAAAAATTTACCAAGAAAAGCCATAGTAACGCTGACACACCTAATAAAAGCTGCTTTAAGATTGATATATGTTCCCAGACTCTGGAAAGTAGCCGAAGTCATTATGATCGTCAAACCAGGTAAACCTCCTAATGAAGTGACATATTATTCACCAATATTACTTCTTCTGGTGATGTCACAACTATTTGAAAAGCTTCTTTTGAAAAGATTAAAACCAATAATAAAAAGAAAAAATCTTATACTTAATCATCAATTTGGCTTTAGAAATAAACATTCTACTATAGATCAAGTGCACAGAATAACGATTATAATAAAAAAAAAATTAGAAGAAAAAAAGTCTGCTCTACAATCTTCTTGGAAGTAGCACAAGCGTTTGATAACGTCTGGCATGCTTGTTTAAACTATAAACTAAAAACGTTCATGCCTAAAAAGTATTCAGAAATATTATAATCATATATTGCGAATAGATATTTCAGAGTTAAACAAGAAGAAGTGTACACCGACTTAAGGGAGATCAAAGCTGGCGTGCCACAAGGGACTGTATTAGGTCCGGTCCTGTACCTATTGTATACGCGTGACATCCCAGAGCTCAAACAAAAGACTATTGCCACCTTCGCGGATGATACAGCCATACTAGCGATAGGACACACTAGTGAAGAAGCAACTGATAAGTTGCAACTATCAGTTAATAAAATGGCGAATAAAATTAAATGAGACTAAATCTGCACACATTACCTTGACAAATAAAAAAATAGAAAATTTTCCAGCTAGAATAAACGATACCCAAGTTCCTTATGCAACATCATCAGCAAAATACTTGGGCATCAAGTAGTCTTAGACGCGAGGCTGCGATGAAAAGTCTGTGTCAAAAGGAAAATAGGGGAGCTTGATATTAGATATAACAAATTGTATTGGCTGATTAATAAAAATTCAATATTATCCATTCATAATAAATTATTCATTTACAAGCAAGTACTGAGGCTAGTATGGGTATATGCGTGCCAACTTTGGGGCTGCACCAAAGCTAGTAATCTACATATTATCCAGAGATTTCAAAACAAAGTACTGAGGAACATTGTTGATGCTCCTTGGTATATCCGTACCAACAACCTCCACCAGGACCTGGGAATGGAAACTGTGACCGAAAACAGCAGCAAGTCACGAGCCGAGATTGCATAGTCATGTGAATGTCGAGGCAATCCAACTTCTTGACAACACTGAACTAAAGAGAAGACTCGTAAGGACAAAACCATTTGAGCTAGTGTAAGTGTGTAACAGTTTAGTGTAAGAACGAAAGTGTAGTGCTGTGATGTTATTGCATGTTAGTTGTAGTGTATTAGTTGATCGATAGTTTTCTCGATGATCTGGTAAAATATGATGTTACAAATCCTCTCAATAATACATGTTACTTGATATTAAAAAAAATAAAAAGGAGTAACAAAAATTCGGAACTTACCTTGGTCATATTCATAATTATCTTTATAAAAATACACAACCATTAATTTTTCCATTGTTAAACATACCAAAAAGAATAAAAACTAAAAAAGTACCCCTATTACATATATAACTCGCTTGAGGCGTCAAACTAAGAGCCCTTAGAGCAAAATTTAAATTCCTAGTTATAGCGGCGAATTATTTATTTAAAAAATTTATTTTTACAATACCTAACATACTATAAAAAAATAAAAAATAAAAAAGTACCTTTAAATCACTAGTAATAAGCGGAAAATTTTTAATTTTGGGGATTTATTTTTACATTACTAAACAGTAAACATACCAAAAATATTAATAAATATTATCTTATTAGAATTATTTTACTTTAATGATGTTATCTCACAAATTCACGAAATAATACCAATCGTACAGAATGAATATTCGTAACCAAAAGTCCTTATTTATTCTTCAAACAATTAAAAAGACCAATATTTTCAACTTCTTATGGTACAAATACAAACAAATTAGAAATGTTTGGAAAGGTTTTTAAAATCCTCGCCTGTTGTGATGTCAGACCTCAGGTATACAATGTATTTGATCTCTTAATTTTTATATAGTTTGATTTTTAAGAAGTAGTGAAGGGAAGTGTTAAAAGTATATTTAGATATTTTATTATTAAATTCATCTTTATTATCTCAATTATTATAAGTTATGAATAGTTTTCTTTGTGAATAGTATATAATTGCAGTCTGAAGACCAGTTTTTATCAATTTTTGAAAAATTTCAAGTAATAACTAAATTAATTTATGTTTTAAATAAAGATTTCAGATAAAGTTTTTTTAAGCACCTCGATCTATTGAGTATTAAGTTAATAGATTATGATATGTGCCGTTACATTTTTTGAGTATTGAATACACTTGTTATTAAGTTTATAAATTTTTTGGCTTTATACATAGGTAAGCATGTCAATTTTAGTATTTTTGCTTATGTATTTCTTTGATATATTTTATAACAATTTTAAATCCTTTATAAATCTCAGGTTAAGATTTATTGACGCCTTCTATTATGTGGTTCCTAGAATTCAGAATTCCCTGTTTTACTTTTATCAAACTGTTATTCTTACTCACCCTTACTCACCCCAATGACACTTCCCATTCTGAGCAACGAGCAATTTACATATTGTGAAAATTCATCAGTCCATTTCCTCATTTCTGGCATTCGCTAACGATATAGTTATAGTAGGCAGAAGTATGAGAGACATGGTGCAGTGTTTTACAAGGCTTGCAGACGCAGCAAGTAAATTAGGACTTGTGGTAAACGAGAAAAAAACCAAATATATGTTGGTTTCTAAAAACTCTCGAAATATCTAACAGAGAATTCAAATTAACAACCATACCTTTGGGCAAGACAAAGAATTTACATATCTTGGATCGCTAGTAAATGCAACAAACACGACAAGCGACAAAATAAAAAACCCATAGCAATAGCAAACAGAACTGTTCACGGTCTCCAGAAACATTTAAAAAATAAAAATATAAAACGTACAGTAAAGCTTAATATTTACAAGATCTTAATAAGACCGGTTTTGATATATGGGGCTGAAACGTAGACCTTATCTCAAAATGATGAAAGACTTCTTGGTATTTTTACTTAAAAAATTTTACTAGAAAAATTCTTAGAAAGATTTTAAGGGCCGTAATTGAAAATTGGCTATGGAGTCGAAGATACATCTTTGAACTATATAAGTTAGACACCGATCCAGATATTGTGAAATTCGTTAAAGTGCAGAGACTTAGATGGGCTGGATACATTGCTAGGATGTCAGATCATAAATACACAAAGAGATTAACATTTTCAAAACCAGAGAGCACAAGAAACAGAGGACGCCACGAATGAGATGAATTGATGATGTGGAAGAAGACCTATAGGTTCTAAGAGTTAGAAAATTGGGGGAAGTCACCAGAAACCGACAGGAGCGGCGACTTAGTGAGCAGGCCAAAATCCACAACGGATTGTCGAGTCACTTATGATGATTTCCTCCTTTCAGTTTTAGTGTTATTAGCACTATATATTATGAGATAAGAACAAAATTGAGAATCTTCCCAGTACAACAGCAAAATCTTAATCTTAATCAAAATAAAATTTTATATAAAATAAAAATATATTTTATTTTATGTAAAAATAATAACAAATATGATTCTTAGTAGAAAATGTATTTACACAAGGGTAGTTAAATATATTTTTATACAATTATCACAATAAGTCTTTTCGCATGATCCTAAAGAACTTCTATTCACTTTTTACCATAATTGCTTCCTAATCCGCCGCCACCGCCAAAACCAAAACCACCTCCCCATCCGCCTCCTCCGCCGCCGCCACCACCACCTCCACCTCCTCCTCCGCCGCCACCTCCTCCACCACCACCGCCCCCATTGCTGCCGTCTTGTCCACATGTAGTGCATGGGTTTGGTTGGCACGTAGTGCAAGTGGTTGGAGCTGGTTGGTAAGTCGGCTTGACAGGATGATACGTTGGTTGAACGGGGCGATATGTTGGTTGTACTGGTCTATATGTTGGCTGCACTGGTCGATAAGTTGGTCGTACAGGTGAATAAGTTGGATGTACATAGTGGTATGTTGGTCGTGGGGGAGGTGGTCGCTTTTGAACTTCTTCTTCTATTATTATGATAGTGTCTGGTTGTTTGGGTCGGTAAACTGGTTTTTCGACTACTACTGGACGAGGTTGTTCCACTACTACTGGACGTGGTTGTTCAACTATTACTGGTTTCTCGACTACAATAGGACGTGGCTGTTCGTATACTACTGGTTGTTCAACATACACAGGCTGTTGTTGATACACTGGCTGCTGTTGATACACTGGCTGCTGTTGGTATACCGGCTGCTGATTGCATGTTTGGCAACCACCTCCTGGGCGTCCACCACCGTAACTCCCAGCGTAGCCTCCTCCATAACCTCCCCCAAATCCTCCTCCATATCCACCACCACCGAAAAGTTTCTGTTTTAGCAGTCCAAGTGTAGGAGATGACGCACTGGGATATACCGCTATAAGAAGTAGGAGAGTTTTTGCCTGTAAAAAAAGTTAAAATTAATAAAACTGTTAATTCATAAAAGCCATAAAAATTGACAATAATGTAGAAGCTAACGAATAAAATGTGATTTTATGCACTCTTTCCATTTTCAAGAAATATGGAAATATTTTAACGCGATCTGCGATAGAATAGACCATTTCGAACGAATTTATAAAATACACATATTGAATATCGAGAACAATAAAAACAGTTGGCTGTACAATACAATATGGCGTAATAAAAACTTTGGCTCTGAGGCTAAATCAAGAATATTCAAAGCTGTTATAAGGCGTATAATGCCATACATCGCAGAAACAACAAAAACCAAAAGATTGCTGTATCCCTTAGTCTCAAGACGGTACTTAAGTATCATCAAATATATCCCAGGCATAACATTTAATAAGACTTTCCACATAAGATTGGACTCACAACCGTAGTTTTCATCTGATGTTTAAAACTTCGAATGTCATTCAAACGATTTTGCGTTAAATATACAATAAGATTTGTAGGTACTCAAAAGGATCGTCTGCAATAAACAATGCTTTTAGCTTATAGTAAAAATGCATGACCAATAATATAAGGCGGACTTAAAAGTACCGTTATGAAGTAATTGTCAAAAAATCTAAACGTCGTGGGAAACAGAAATGAGGGTACTTTGTAGCATATCTGGAAAGACTCTTCTATACACAGAACAAGTGAACACATAAGATATATAGTTTGATATAATGTGACACTAATAACTAATTAGCGAAGTATTAAGATATAAAGAAAAAAATTTTTTCGAATATGAATAAACAGAAATTGCACTGAAATGGCACAGCTTTAGCAATCTTACACATGATGCCAAGACATATTAACTTATATGTCCATCACATATTGCAAAGTATAAGGTGTATGAGTTAAATAATTAAACATTTAAAACAAGGGATTGGTTATTAATACAGAAAAGGTAAGAACAAGTCAAACAGGATCAAAAAAGCTTCCTAGTGAAAATTGAACAATTATTGTCAAAAACTAGAAAATATGTTGAAAATTGTACCTGAAGCTTTTTGGAAGTGGGTTTCTTATCGAAAAACAGAAAAATTTTCTATAAAATAAAAGGGAAAAGTAACACCAAAATTTAAGAAACGTTACAGACCCATATAACCGAAAGTTCCATTATAACTTTCATAGTTATAAGTTAACACTAGAAAATATTTTACCTTAAAAATTACTTCCTCTAAAAATGATAAAAAAAATGTGTTTTACTTACCAGTAATACTCCTGAAGCACCCATTTCTAAAGACACGATTTAACAATGCTATAAACACTTTTTGATACTAGTGCAATCTTATTATGTTTACTGTTTGTGAATGATTCTGTTAGTTCGCAATTGTTTTTTATATATAACTCGTCTAATTACAGCAAGGATTATGAATTACCCATTACCATATAATTGCATACGTTCCGGACAAAGGTGTAATTTACTTGATATTAGATGCTGTTTTAGGTTGGATCTATCAATAATTTGGGAATTCACCGGGAATCACGCATTTTATGTAAAAATCAACTTAATATTTCTACTGCAAATTTGCTCCTAAATCAAAAACTAGTAATTGTTTTTGATCCATATTTATACATAGGAAACATATTAACATGTTAACATATTAACGGAAAATACCTAAATCACCTTAGATATGCGGATGATATACTCCTGATCTCCTCGGAACGACAAGAACTGGAATTAATGCTGAATGAACTTCATGAAAAATCACTGCAAAAAGGCCTAAAAATTAACTTCACAACAAAACAAAAGTAATGACAAACACGGAAGACCAAGAGGCAATAAAAATAAAAACAGAAAAAATAGAACAGGTAAATGAGTATATCTATCTAGGACAAGCAGTCAGAGCTAATAGAGAAAATCAAACAGCCGAAATATCGAGACGAGTAAGAATGGGATGGGCAGCGTTCGGCAAATTTTCTTACGTTCTAAAAAATCAAACAATCCCTCTATACTTACGAAGCAAGGTATATAACTCCTGTATAATACCGGTGCTCACCTACAGAGCACAGACATGGACTTTTACACAAGCCAATTTGGATAGGATAAGGAAGGCACAAAGAGCGATGGAGAGACAAATGTTGGGTGTATCACTTAGAGATAGAAAACGTAACCAGTGGATCAGAACCAGAACAAAGACGATAGACGCGATAGAACAAGCAGCAAAACTGAAATGGAAATGGGCTGGACACAATGAACGCCTCCAAGACGGACGATGGAACAATGCCAACGGAAAGTGGCGTCCATACAATGCAAAGAGATCAAGAGGCGGACCACAGATGACGTGGAAAGATGACATCAGGAAACAAGGAGGTTCCACATGGCAGAGAACAGCTCAAGATAGGGAAAGATGGAGAGAACTGGGGGAGACCTATATCCAACAATGGAAGGATAGAGAATAGGTTCAAAAAAAAATTTATACAAAGATAAATTTAATTTTGATAACTTGTACCTTCTTTCCTTTTGAAAATTAAATTATTGTCAGAGAAATATAACAAACTACATTTAAAAAAAGAGGCTTTTATTTAAAAAATCCTTTATAAAAGGTATATAGATTGTAAAATTGGCATTCCAGGTTATATCACAGAAGGTTTTGGGGCTAAACTCAGTTGCTATCGAGGACCCATAGAAATACATTTTCCTAAAGTAAGAGTATTAAGGAAGACATAAGAAACTACAATGAAAGACTGGTAGAAAATGCAATCGAAAACAAAAAAAAAATATTAGAAAACAAGAAAAGCACTTATCATTGGGAAGAAGCAAATTGTTGCTCTAACAAATGAAAACACCAGAATTACAGACAGACATGAGATAATACAACTCGTGACTAAATTCTATAGCGAACTATACTAACCTCCTGAACCACCTGAAGAAGCAATCAGTTACCAAGAAGATGTAGTAGAAGTCCTTACCGAAGAAGTAGAATTGACAATAATTACAAAAATGAGAAGTGGTAATCTTCAAAAGCGGAAATCTCACTACACGTCCAGAATTTTCTATCTCTGAATATAATGGATGACCTAAACGCCAAAATTGGGAAAGGTAGCACAAGCAACGTAGTGGAACATTTTGGGTTAGGTGATAGAAATCAAAGAGGAGATCTTCTTTTTTAAGTGCAATCTTCGCGACGAAGGTTGGCAATTATCATGGTTATTCTGACCTTCGAGGCAGCTGCTCTGAACAATTGCCTTGAGTTGCAACCAAACCACTCAAGTTCTTCAACCAGGAAACGGATCTTCTTCCTACGCTTCTCCTAGCCTCTATTTGTAAGTAAGTCTCAAGATGTTGTCTTCATCTTTCGCCTTTCATCACATGTCCGGGATATTGCAATTTTCTTTCTTTCTTTCTTTGAAAGAAAGAAAGAGAAGATAGGTTGATACAATTCTGCCAAGATAATAATATGATTGTTACAAACACGTTCTCTGAATTACCTAAAAGACGTTTATACACGTGGAAATTGCCTAGAGATAATGAACATCAGATAATGAGAAATCAAATAGATTACATAATGATCAAGGAAAGATATCAGAATAGTATTACTATAATCAAAACACAACCTGGAGCAGATATAGCAACTAACCATAATCTTTTAGTAGCACATATGAAAATTAAAATGAAAAGAATAAAGAAGACAACAAAAGAAGAAAGAACTGATATAAATGCACTAAGAGATCCAGAAATCAAAATACAGATTGAAGGGGAATGCAATGAAAAAAACATCAACAAAAACTGGGAAAAAATAAAGGCTGACTTAATATTATCTTCAAAAAAGTATTTACGCAAAACCAAAGAAAAGAAAAAAGATTGGATGACGGACGAAAAACTAAACTTGATTAAGAAAAGAAGAGTATATAAAGACAAAAATACATCATTGTACCAGCAAACACAAAACGAAATACGGCGATAAATTCAAATAGCAAAAGAAAATTGGTGAAAAGGAAAATGTGATGAAATAGAAATGCTACAAAATCAACATGGCAGCTTTAATTTACACAGGAAAATAAAAGAATTAACTAGAAGACAAGAATACAAACAAAATATACTACTTGATGAAAAGGGCGACACAGTAAAGGATACAGAAAACAAATTGATGGTATGGGCAAACTATATAGAACAGCTGTTTAACGACAAATGAGACAAAATAGATAACGAATATTTCGTTAAAGAGACTGAACCAGAAATAACAGAATGTGAAGTAAAATACTAGTTAAAGAAATGAAAACTTGCAAAGCAGTAGGAGCAGATCAAATATCGACAGAAATATTGCAGCTTATCGCCGACTGCAAGTATACAGAACAGGTATATTACCTAAACAATGGCTTCTATCAACATTCGTGACTATACCGAAAAATAAAAACGGCAGATAATGTTGCGATCACCATATTATCAGTCTAATGTGCCATATACTGAAAGTATTCCTAAAGATTCTTCATGGTAGAATATATAAAAAGTTAGAAGACATTGGACAAACTCAGTTCGGAATTAGAAACGCTCAAGGTACCAGAGAAGCATTATATACAGTAAATGTGCTAATACATGATGAGATGTCTAGATTTAAACCAGGACATCTATGTCTGCTTCCTAGATTACAAGGCATTCGATACAATGAAACATAATCCGTTAATAAAAGTACTGAGAACAAAGAACAACGACACACGGGATATAGGAATAATAAAGAATCTGTATTATGAACAAGAGGCTGTCATACGAATAAATAATTTAAAAACTGATAAAATAAAAATCAAAAGAGGTGTTAGACAGGGCTGTGTCTTGTCGCCATCACTGTTAAATATACACTTAGAGGAAATATTCAAAAAAGCATTAGATGATAAAGTAGCAGACACAAAAATTTATGGCCTACCCATACGTGAAATTAGACATGCTGATGATACAATAGTAATAGCAGAAATTATTACAGATTTGCAAAGAATTTTAGATAAGGTTGTTGCAGCGACTGAAGAATTTGGTCTGTCACTAAATAATACTACGTAAATAATAAGACCATATAACGAGTTCAGAATTATAACTATATACATATTTAGAAGCAAACATTAATGCAACAAACGATTATACCAAAGAAATTAGAGTTAGAATAAAAAAGGCTAGAAGTGCATTTAATAATATGAAACAAATATTTTGTTGTAGCGACCTCAGCCTAAATCTTAGAAAACGAGTAGTAAAGTGTTACATATTTCCTGTGCCTTTGTATGGTGTGACTTTAACCTTCCGCAGATAACGTGAAAAATTTTAAAAATTTTGATTACGTCGGTCTAACAAACCGACTTCTTCTAAAATTAAAAAAAAATAGAAATTTAGCTGAAGGTAATAAAAATTTACAATAATATAATTGTGTATATTATTCTCTATACAAATATATGAAATGTATAATTTTTTGTTATTTTAATAATTTTAAGGGGGTATTAAAAAAGTGTCACTTTTATCAACAGGCTTTTAATAAAATCAAAATAATTATAACAAAAAAAAAAAATAAATAAATCTGCTTCTACTAAAACATAATTCAGTTACTTGTATGTTATTAAACATGGAAAATAAAATTTTACTCTCAAAATTTACACAGATTACTGAAACTATTCCAAATTTTGGGCACCATAATTTTCAAAACAATGCCTACATAATCCCGGCAGATATTCTAGACATAAATATTTTTTACATTTTGCACAAGAATATCTTGTTCTTCGACTTTTTGGAGTACTACAGTACGTACATCGTCCATGAGTTTGATTCTGGAGAGCAATATTCTCAGTTTCTATACCACATATTTCAGAAAGACGTAAACGGATTATCCTGGGAATGTTTTGCTGTTGTGCTCGTCGACGATTATGTGGGCTCAGTAACTGAAATATCCTAAATTTTCTAAGAATTTTCTTCTATTGATTTTTCTTTCTTCTATTGAATTTTTGTTTGGGTATTCGAGGTGTAAATGATGTAACTATTTATTTCAGTAACGTTCATGGCACTATAAAAAAATTACCATTGGCCAACGACCAGTTGCATGAGCGCAATTGTAGGCTTCCCACATTTTGTCAACAACGTCGACAACGCGTTTTTGTTTTGTTGTAGTTCATGATTACTTCCATTTTTTTGGTCTTGCTAGTAACATTTGAGGAGGTATCTCACGTTTAGTTTGAAGTAATGTCCCAACTGTAATAAGACGGTGTTGCCTTAGTATCTCCGTCAGAGTTAAGCTGGTAAAAAAGTTATCAAGCGTGACATTTGATCCCAAGATAGATGAACAAAGACGAGGCACTAATGCTAAATTCGAAGTATCCC